TCAAGTACACCAAGCTGTACAAGCTGCTTTGCACCGCTCGGAATCACCTCCTCTGCGTGCTGGAAGATAAACCGTACAGTGCCGCAAATCTTGTCCTTCACCTGGCAAAGGACCTTGACAGCTCCGAGAAGCATTGCAGTGTGTGCATCGTGGCCGCAAGCGTGCATCACGCCAGGCCGCTTTGAGCTGAACGGTTCACCACTTTCCTCCTGCAACGGAAGCGCGTCCATGTCAGCACGCAGCGCGTACATGGGCCCCTCCCCTGCTCCGCCACGGAGATCTGCAACCACACTGTTCGGCGTCAGCCGCCTTATCTCAAGGGCCGCCGGCATTGTGGTGAGGATGCTCGCTACGTAGTCTGCGGTCGGCTGCTCCTCGTAGGCCAGGTAGGGATTTTCATGGATGTGACGGCGCCACTGCACAACTTCGGGCTGTACATCCAAAATTAAGTTTGAAATGTCGATCATATCGTAATAAAAATATTGAACACAATAAAATGAACCTAAAACATACCCATAAAAAAGATGAAAGGCATCCGAGACCCACAAATTGGTTTATAAATTTTCATACAATAAGTCTGTGACCCGCACAAAGTGTAACTCAGGAGGGGCAAGGCATATTCATGTGAGAGTAGTGACCACTGAGTGTCATGCGCTCCACTAAGCTTCCTGTGCAATGTGCACCACAATCTTCCGACGATCGCCGTACGCAGAAACAAGGTGTTCCAACACAGTCACGGTCGAGCCATCGTCAAGCTCAAGCATTTGGTCCTCATTCCTTAGCGAATAGAAGTTGTCCATGTTGAGCTGCATGTCGTATTGCCTAAACTATTTCTTTTATACGCCGATAGTTTTTTTTTTTTTGGTAGCGAATGCAATAAAGGCAAGACCCGTAGATGCTCCAAGACAGTGCTGTCCATTTCTGGCATTTCCCATCGTTGCCGTACACCGTTTTCCAATCATCAACCACGGGACACTCCTTTTCCACTAGTGATGACGGCGGTCGCTGCTCCCTCGCCTCAGCAACGCGGTCGTCAAGTTGAGAAGCCTCCAGAGGCGTCCCCGTGTCTGTGCCATCCGCTCGCCCCACTCCAGGAGCCTCTATAGGCGGTGAATGATCTTTTGCTTTCATCAACGCCGCAGGCTGTTGCTTCCAACGGCTCTGCAGTGCAAAGAAAGACCTTGCAGGGAAACCACCTGCATCCGCTCCGCAACAAACTCAGCTTTAGCAAAACATACCTCGAAAAAACAGTCGTGGGAACTGTTCTCCGTGGACTATACCTGTTCCCCTATGGAAACCATCAGTTCGCCCAGATCCAGCGATGTCATCGTGGCATGACGCTCGAAACCAAATGGCCTTGAGGCAAGGCTTCCGTTGAACCTTCCCGTGGCGCTTGGCGTGTTTGGCAGTGCGCCAAGAGGGACAAAAACACTCATGTAAAAAGAGCTCTGAAGATAATAGGAACCGGATGAAACGCCCACAATGCCCACATGGGCGCTTTGCCAAACGCCACGCTTTTCGCGTAAAGAAGAAAAATCAGGACAATTCTCGTTTAGCGAATTTGACACGGTGTTTGAGCATTACGGCGAGATCCATCTTACTGTCTGTGTGGGCCTGGTTGCTTTCCCAGGTGTCCACTGAAGCCGTACACTCCTTCCCGTAATAGACCACGGCATATTTGACAAAACCACGATTTGCAGCTGACTCCAGCTGCCGAAGCGGCCCTGAACTCCCAGAAGGAGCACTAGCAAACTTATCGCCACACACGTAGTGATTGCAGAGAGGGCAACAGGAGCAGTCGCCAATTCTGTTATACTCGCATGCGATAAAATAATGGGGACCTGGAGAGATCAATTGCGTCACCGCAGATGGACACTGCAGGAAAGGCCATGAGGTATTTACCGGGCTTACGTCTCCGTAAATTAAATCCAAAACGGCCTCCGCGTCTCTCTGCCTACAGAGTGTCACAATGCTATCGAGGATCACTCCACCTTTCCGTAGGGGATATCGAGCAGGTAATGAAACCGCCGCGGCTGCCACATTCTCACTCCTATTGGTAGACTCCTACATACTCCAACCTGGAACCAGTAGGACGAGTATAGGGAAGAAGTTGAAAAACCTCAAGCCTGCTGGTAGTAGCGAGGCTAAACAAACACCCCCCCCCCACACACACACATTTACCCTGTTTCCCTTCCCAAACACCATTTTTTTTTCCATTATTTATCACGCCTCTTTGTGATGACGCCTTACCCGGTTTCTCTTCTTGAGGGCCCTTCGTGATACAGACGCCTCCTTCTCTCGTTGCGAATCCCTTTCCCACCGTTCAATGTCGTCTAAAGTGCCCGGCTTTTTTTTATTTCTTTGATACCATTCACGCACCAAGGACGCCATTGTATCCTTGTGGTCTTCTGAAGTACGACCAAAGCGCAGTGTGGGCCCTTCGGGAACCTCAAGAGTACCATGGCGGTACATCTCGCGCCACTTTTCCAAGTAATCGTACTTGGAGCGTCGGGTCACACCCTTCCCTTTGATGTCCAAAGTATTTTCCTCCTTCATCCGTATAGCCTTCACAGCTGCGTTCATCTTCTCTTTGGCGTCCTCTGACAACTCTGAGAAGAACGTATTGTCGTTTTCAAGCGCTATTTCCTCGTCGGACTTGTAGGGCGACAACTTGTCACGGGACTCTCCTTGCCAAACCAGTTCTCCAGAAATAGGAACATCCGCCGCCGTCTCCAAAATTGGTTTTAGCGCCCCGGTGTCAAAGCGATGATCCGGGTATTGACGGTAGTCCGATAACTCCCCCGGTGTCTGGGCGCCACTTCTCTCGATATCTAACTGGATGTCAGCGGTCCGCGCCGCGTTCCCAAGGGCTGAGAGTGGCGGAACTGACTCTGCTCCGTCGAGGATTTTTTGGTGTTCCCGCTTGACTACTTGCCGTTCCCGCCAGAGTCGTATACCCCACCCTTGCGGGCCACCGCCATCCTTGGGGTACGAAAACTCCCCACCGTCCATTGCCCAAAGGCTTCCAGTCACTTCCCCTTCTTCTGAGCGAATTTGTGGCAGCAGCTTTTGCCTGTCAAGACGCTGGAGATAATCTTTGGTTGGAAATGCAGAAATAATGCCAAGCTTCTTCAAAGCATCATTTTTTTCCTCAAAATTTTCGCCCTTTGGGGTGCCATCTGCACTCTCTTCCGAGAACAGTTCATGTTTGCTTGTTGTCTCTCGTTTCCAGTTTTCCCACCAGGCAAGTGTGGAGGACGCCGAAATTGGTAAAGGGGTAAGCACAGGATTACCCTCTGCGCCAACATCCACCGGCGACGTCGACGGTGGCTCTTCATTAAAACCATAGTTATGCTCCTTTCGTGCAAGATATTCTTCTCTCGCCTGCATGATGCGCCGTGCACGTCGCTTCATATCACGTTTGTAACCTGCTGCGTTGTTTACACGCACAATTTTCTTAAGGAAAGACGGTCTGATTTGAATGCCAGCGCGCTCCATGGCCTCCAAGTACCGGAGCGCCCTCGCAGTTCCTCCCTCCTCACCAGAGGACAGGTGCATAAAAATGAGGCAGTCGTACGTCCTTCTAGACGGGGTCAAATCCTCCTTTAAAACCATTTCTTGAAACAATTTTTCTGCCTCATCAATACGTTGTTGGTGCGCCAAGAGGGCAATGTAGCACTCGTAGCTGTAAACATCCTTTTTAAGGTGCCACTCCTCAAATGTCTGATTCCATATTTTGTTAGACTGTTCTTCAAACCGCCCAATCGTCGTTGTTTGGTCTGGTGTGTGCTCCATAGCCAATATTGTAGCCTGGCAACACAAACGAAGAAGGGCGTTGACAAATGGAAGTTGCATCGTCCAGCCACGTCGGACAACCAAATTATAAATACCAAAACATGTTTCAAGATGCTCAAGCCAGAGAGGAAGCGGATCCTCCGCCTTCTCCCGCATTGCAGCATAGTCGATACGAATGATACTTTGAACATGTGCCTGAATGGCCCATGACAAGTGTGTAATGCCCACCACAACTCCGTCGTCACGCATTTTACTCAGGTATCTCTCCACGGCTGCAATGTCCCCTACCACCTGAGCCGATCGGATGAGGTTGAGGTAGGTGGTGGCGTTCCACACAATACCCATCAATTCCATTTTGTGTGCCAGTTCTTCGCAACGAAGTCGCATCTCTGGTTTAGGGCTCTGGCTCAAATGGTACATCATAACATCGTAATGCGGACGTGACGCAATAAAGCCATAAACATTTTCCATTTGATCAAAAAGCTGAATTGATTCGGCGAGCGAGTTCAGCTGAGAGGAATCTTTGGCAAGAGCCTTTAGCTGGATAGCGAAGGTGACCTCATTTGGTTCAATGTTGGCGTACATTTTCATGTTATCTACAATTTGGATCACAGCGGGGTAGTCCTTCGCCTGGTGAAAAGCTCGCATGAGTTCATGCCAATTGCCAATACGTGGTGTGATTCCCTTCGCCTTCATTTCCTCTATAAGGGCCATTGACGCATTCACATCGCCGCTTCGAGAAGCGTGTCTCATTAACGCTTTATATAACTCCGCGGAAGGACCTAGCCCCACAGCGCATGCAAAATCAAAAACCGCCCGACTCATTGACGTGTATTGCTGCCGTGAAAGAGCTGAGATGACGATGATCAACCCCTCTTCCGTGTACTCTAGGCCAAAGTCTTCTAATATGCCCGCAAGCTCCTTGCTGGCGTTACTCACCTCGGAGCTATCATCGATGTACGCCACAGGGACATTAACTCTTGCTGCAAGCTCTGCTGCGGTCATCGCGCCATGCGAAGTCGATTCTGTATCGCTGTAAGTTATGAGCTCCGACACAGCCTGCTCCAAGTGTTCGTAGCTAGAGGAGGGCGGCAGCAGCTCCACCAACTCATTATTCAATACGCCAGTAATCGGGGGATACACTTTGGAACACTTTCCTGAATGCGGCTGCGTAGATGGCGGGGATTGCAATAACCTGTTGCCGAAATTTAGCAAGGCTTGCATGCCTGAGGAGTTGCGTTCCACCGCGCCCACAATATCTTCTTGCTCTTCTTCAGCTGGAAACTGCCAGGCGTACGCCCAGCGCTCAATGGTGTCATCCCATTTTCCTTGCACTGGAGGACGATAGTCGGGCGGCAGTGTGCCTTTTCGATACATATCTAACTCCATTTCTTTGGCGCTCGGCCCAAAGGCCACTGTACCCCTAAGAGCGACATGCTTCAATGCCTGTGCGTACGGTGAGAGTGCTTTAGGGAGCCGCCTTGCTGTGGCCAACATCACAACCACTAATAAAGCAAGCAGAAGAAGACAAACCAACGTGAAACAGAAGCGTGGTGTGTTTCAAACAATTTTGTACGCCTGCAATGGAAGGACGTCCCCACACCACTTTTTTTTTATATATACCTCTCCTCTTTTTCATGGGTGTCTTCTTAGCTATAAAACACCCACAAACGAAAAAGAAAAACACAACACACACACATACTAGAGGAGGCCTCCGACGAAACAGGTTCCCTCAATCCACCCTTCTCCCTTCTGCCGTTTTCGTGGTTTAACACCCTGCGTCCACCACCACCACAAATTAGTGGATGTGTTCAGCGCGGTAACGCACAGGGTCAGGGCAGAAAGCTCTGCTTCTTGTAAGCACGAGTTCTCCAGACCCCCCCCCCCACGTGGTGTACCCGCCGCTCTCTCCCTTACCCTCTCTTTTAATCCTTCTTCTTTTCATGTGATTCCGCCGTGCCGGGCGTGAATTCCTCGTGCTTCGTCTCCTCAGCCGATTCAGAGCTAAAAATCTCTTTAAATAACCAGTTTGTTAAAAAGGCTAAGCCGGCTCCAAGAAATCCAAACACCCAGATGTGAACGTTGTCAGGCATGGCGAAGACCAGCGATAGCCAGCACAAAAAGAGCGCGACCATTACAACATTAAACGTAATCCACACCACTGGCGAAAGGGCAGAGCCTGGCGTGAGAACATGATTAACCAATCGAGCCAGCCAAGGCAGCTCCGACGCCTCCGACATCGCACCTTTACTTTACACCCCTAAACACACACACACACACACACACACACACAACAATCACAAATGGACCGAACGAACCAAAAGAAAAGGGAGGAAAAAAAAGAGAGAAAGAGACAGTTGAGAGAAAACGATATGTACAAGTGGTCAAAATCATCAATTTTGTGTTCCGCCTCGCACTACAAGAGAAATTTAGTGCAAATAACTTATCACCCGCAACAAAAATTGCTACCGCACAGTCAATTGAATCCTGTCATGCCACGGCGAGCTCAGCTCCACGCAATGTGGCGAAAGCCATCGAAGTCTACATTTCGTGATCATCAGCAAGGGATCAGGACCTTCAGGGGGACCTTCCTTATTAATTTGCGGAATATCGACAGTGGACTTCAACTGAAACTCAGGCAGGTGACCCGCAAAAATCACACCCAGCAAACCCACTGAACGAGTCGCATGCCATATTTTTATATTTTCCATCTTTTCACTCAAGACAGCAATGTCGTGAGTGGAAGTGTTGCCACTGTAGGCGACACACAATATTTTCTCCGGGTGCGAAACAAATGAGGCGACAATGCCTGTCGTTTTCATATTAATAACGCGTACGACACCGTCACTGTTGCCAACCGCTAAATACTGCAGGTGCTGTTGAAACGAAACATTCGGCAAGTATTCTACAGCACGTCGAACTACTTGCGCTACAGGCATCAGACATGACCTTCGTTCTTCTTTGTTGGGGTTGTGAGGGTCAAGAGCTCGAAGAAGAAATTCCGTCATAATTGGGAAGGCATCATACGATTGAAGCGGCGAAAACTCAATGAAACCACCAAAAAAGGTGATGATGCGAGGTCTCCATGAACGTTTTTCATCGTACCACGACTTGACACGATGTTCAATAAAATCCTTTCCCTCAACACTTGCAATACTCATGAGAGTGTTAATGGCAAAGACACCATTAGTGTTCTCTCCCTCAAACGCTAACGTGCCAATTGCATCTACAACGGTTTTAGAATCGTCCAGCGCAATTTCTACTAACTCTTGATAATATTCTTTGATAGTCTGAAGTAGCAACAATATACAAGTTTCGCCCTCCCGCATACTCAATAACTGCGTCAAACGGGGCACGTCGGACTTAAGTCCCTCTGAAATAGACCTCCAAAGAATTTCATCGGTACGCGGCATGCTACCCAAAAAGGTCATTCGAACAAAGAATCCATAGCACCACACATCCAGCTCACTAAGGCTAGTTGAAACGTTAAACCAATGACGAACTGATAAATCCTCTGAAGACATAATCAATATTTTTTTAAAAAGATCTTTCAATTGTGGGGCCATCATTCCTTCTGCGGCCGCCTTTATGCATACCCGGATGTCTTTTTTGGCTGCATCAGACACCTGTAGAAGAAGAGGTATAGCTTGAACAATGACCTTTTCGGGCCTTGGTGGGGCTTCAATCCGCCCCGAACTCACAAGGCAGTCACTCAGTGCCTGGACTTCTGAGATGGAGATTGTATAATTAACTCCCGGAGAATTCTTCTGCGCTCTTGCAAAAAGAACGACCGAAAGAAGATACCCTGCAGACTGCTCCGCACAGACGGTACAAATGGAAAAACTACTCCCATTGAATCCTGCTTCTGGTAAATCACGCGGTCCCTGAAAGTTGTAATCAACACACTTTAACGTAGAAAACAAGATGGACAATGCCAATCGGCATGCAGGAGGTAAACCATCTGTTTTGTGTTGAGGCAATATGTCTATTAGAGGAATAACATTCATTCTTAATGAAAAGTGAATTCTCCCACAAATAGTAATTCGGTCAATTGTGACAGCGCCAACTTCTGCAAAAGAAGCCAACAGATCTCGTCGCCCTGCGCCTTCGGTGACGGCTGAAACATTGTGAAAGACCCGCTCCAAACGACATGTGGGTACATGCCAAAGATTCCCAACATTACCTGAAACTGTAAACGCATACTGGGTTTGTGGATCCCAAACAAGCCTGGTAAGAGGCGCACATGGAGACTGCAAAATACGAGTACACTCAAACGTTTCGGAGTTATGAATTACAACGGTTCCACGTTCTGTGCACACTGAGACAAAGTCCGCATCTAAATACCTCCTTTCTTGAGGCAAAAGGACAATTTTGTCCACAACACCTGTGTGCGCCATGGGAATAATACATTTCAATGTTCCAGAAATCCACACATGTACGCTACCGTGCTCATACCCCATCACAAAAATGATATATTGCCGTTTATAAAGTAAACAACAAGTAACTTTATCCGCTTTCTCTTCATGAGCCAAAAATATCGATTTGAACTGGGAATCACACGGAACCAAGGCAAAACACTCACCTGAACGTTTCACATTTATCACGGCAATATTATCTTCAAATGGTATAATGTCAATTAAAGAAATATCAGATTTATCCAGTATATTTTCATACAATTGCAAAAACTGTCTATGATTGTTACTATCAGTGACAGTAACTGTTCCTGGTATCCCACTGCATAAAGACTCCATACTTGTCAAAGTCAAAGTTAGGAAATATCTAGAGGTTCCACATAAAAGGGTACTGGAACAAGATGCAAGTTCGATAGGTTTACCTGACACAATTTTAATCCTATCCAACCCTTCCACATTCAAGCAGAGCGATAATGGAAGCGCCATGCCATCTGCGCGTATCACCACGAACAAGTCATCCACCCAAAAACCCGATACATACGGAACGCTCATTTCATTTTCAACCAAAGCCGTGTCAGATAATTTGGTGTCTTGCCAAAGTGAAAACTGAATCATATCTTGCCACACCGAAGCCAAAATAAAAGATGCTCCATATTTTCTTAGATATGACTGAGCGCCTGAGCTCCATAAATGGGATTCACAAGTTGTAGCTATGAAACATTTTTCCTGCTCGTCTTCAATCTCTTGTGGTGATGTGGAGGTCACAAAGACGTGTATCCTTCCACGTTCTGGAAAAGTTGCCACAACATCCACAGTGCCAGATTTCACTCCAAGCATGGGTGTAAGAAAAGATGGAAGACCCAGTTCAGAAAAAATTTCATGACTAGAAACACTCAAGAGAACACCAGAACGAAAGTTTACTATTCCACACAAGCCTTCTCTTGTCAAAACAACCATCAGCGACGAGTCAGAGACTATACCACAACACACAACACCACTTAATTTCCTATAACAACTAAAGTGTCCCACAAAAGCAGATTTTTCCGTATCAAATTGAACACATCCAATACAACAATTGGACGACACCAATACAACCCCATCAAATGATGAAAAAGAGACATGAACCATTTCGCCGCCGCAGCTAACATGCAAGTTTTTTACCAAAAGCGGAATAGGTAACGAAGGTTGTGAAGAATTGAAGTAGCTCACAGCACCGTTAGTTTCTAACAGGCAAAACATCGACGAGTCAAACCCATACTGTCGGAACAACAGTGTTCCATGTAAACGGTACTTGTCTCCGGTCTCAAAGCTACACAGGACAGCCTGAAGCTCATCATTCACCACAACCCAATCACCTGAAGGTGAAATCGTTACTGAGGGAAAAGCCTTTCTTTCTGAACTATTACCACCCTCCCTGGTGACAGTTACATAAGGAGCCAGATCATAGTTGGCAAGAGGAAGAGTCAAGTTCATCCCATATGCTAAACTGCCTTTAAACCACAAAAAAAAAAAAAAGAATAGCAAAGCAACAATAAGGGAGAATAAAATCAAAAAACATATATTCTTCTGCCCCCATTTTATTAAGTAAGGAGGTTGGAGCCCACCCATGTAAAGTACAATTAAATGAAAATTTAAGAGAAATTTGCTGTGGGTCCTGTTTCCTTTTCTTTCTCCATATCAGTGGGTTTCCTTCCTTTCAAAAAAAAAAAAAAACATTACCAGGTCCATTAGATGCTGAAATAACAATTTCATTTTACTACTGGTACCTTCTGTCTTCAAAATGGCGCCCCCAAAGTTAACTTCAGCAACCCGTAAACGATTCTGAGTAGATAAAAAAAAAACAAATCATTACTTGGATGGTGGCACCCTAAGCTAGTCACGCTTATGAAGTCTGAAAGCGAATCAACCATCTTATAAACTTCCAGCGGTGTTACACTTTTGCTGGTAAGTAAAGAATTAACAAAGTCGACAGAGCATGCTGATCAAATAACAGTGTATGCAAACTTATTACTGCAATTTGCAGGTGATGAATCCGGGAAACCATCACCAAAAGCAACAATAATGGACATGAGGAAAGACCGTTTTCGCATCCAGCGTCATCCTAATCTCTCTCCCCAAGCTGGGGTCTAGTGTCCTCAAAAAAAAAAAAAAAGTTTGTGTGGTCCACACTTTCGGGCTGACAAATAGACCAATAAGACACCACCCTGAGTCAGCAAAAATATCCAAGGGTAGCACTCTTGCTACAACTATTTCTAGCAGAACGGAATTTTGTGGTGTGTCAGCGTCGCCTTCAAATCTCATGGTGGTCGAATAAGGCATAGTTCCGCTTTGTAGCATTGTGCAGGCTCACTACAAAGGAGACAATGCAGGAAAATATTATCCCCAAAATATGAACCTCGTACCTTTTATTGCATAAATACTTCTACAGAACAAAAAAAACGCACATAACTCTATATTCTCCTGATGCATGAAGATAAATAAGGATAAAAACGTAACTATTCTATAAAAGCAGTAAACAAAGATACTGTTATCCAAAGCAACTTCCACAGCAATACAATCCCCGCACAACACTTGCCATCAAAAATAAATAAATAACAAAGCCATCCAAAGCAGTTACTTTTTAAACTCCGTGGAACTCCCTTGATAAAATGACTCACTAAATAAGCTGACTATAATCTTCATCTGAACGATTTTTAGACTTCCACTGAAAAAGAGCGGCTGCAACAATAACCACTCCAACAATTCCTGTAACAATAGCAATAATATAACCTTTCGAGAGAAAGTTGTCACTTCCAGATGGGTTATATCCGGGGCAGACAGTCATGGATGCGAGACGAAACTCGTACGTCATGTTCCCTGTTTCAGTAGCAGACAAGACACGTAAATCAATCAAGTTTTCGTCGCAATCCACGTATACATTCGCCATCAGTTTTTGAGTGGATCGGAGTGTGAAGAAAAGTGTTTTGTTTTTACGGCTCAGGTTCCCTGAAAAAACAAAAACACCCTCGCAACCCTTTTCGTACATAATCATATATCCAGAACCACACTGCTCAGAAAAAGAAGAAAAATTTTTTGGCCGACAAAAACTCACTCCAAGAGTAACCTCCCTTTTACTCAGCGTCATCGAAACATTTCCATAGTTTGCAAGGTACTCCAAGGACATATATTCATCTTCATTGCCTGTATAAGCACGACATTTATCACCATGCACCTGACCAGCAACGAAAATAATTACAACAAGAAAAGAAAGATATTTCTTTTTCATCTTGCCTACTTGAAATTAACTACAGCAGAACCAGGAGACAAAAAAAAAACAAATCACACATAACTCAAATAGTAATAATAATAGTTCACACCACACCCAATACCCTCAACATAATAATAACAAAACATATATATATATATATATATGTATATAAAAAGGTGTTTGAAAAAACAAAAAGAATAATAGTGAAAATTGGGTAGATAAATCGGCATTATTCGTTGAATATGGCGTCAAACCATAAAAACAAGCTGCGCTTACTAAAAAAAAAAAACACTCTCAATACAATTTCAAAGCACCATAAATTTCGCCCCAGAATTTCCCTCGCGTTGGGAACTATTAATGTGAACCGTGGCAGGTTCGAGCGACACCGAGGCCTGCCCAGCGCCACTGCCAATACTTTTTCTCACAAAAAAAAACACCACCCATTAGTCTATTATGCCAAGACCTATGGCCCCACAAACTGCGCACCGATCACGCGCGGCGTTTCCGTTGTGCGCGCTGCGGCGCAAGTATTTAGTCCTTGGCTGCCGGCTTCGGCCTGTGCCAGCGAGCCCGCCAGCGCCTTGGCGCCCGGATCAAGCCGAGTTGAACTCTTTAAGCAGAAGAATTCCACAGTGCCACTTGAGGACAGTAATGGCACGGTCAGGGAGCGGGTAGTTCACTCGTTCCGCATTCTCACCCTTGTTAACGTGAATGAGGTGATGGTTGCCATTGCGGATGCCCGCTACGAAACATCCTACGACAATTCCTTCATTGAGACTTCTGTCAAGTACAGCGTGGACGATGGAGCGACGTGGAACACCCAAATTGCGATTAAGAACAGCCGCGCATCGTCCGTTTCCCGTGTGATGGACGCCACAGTGATCGTGAAGGGGAACAAGCTGTACGTCCTGGTGGGAAGCGTCAATAAGACACGAAACTCCTGGACGCAGCACCGTGATGGGAGCGACTGGGAACCGCTTCTCGTCGTTGGTGAGGTCAAGAAGTCCGCTGTGAACGGCAAGACAACCGCAGCTATCAGTTGGGGGAAGCCTGTGTCTCTGAAGCCAATGTTTCCAGCAGAGTTTGAAGGAATCCTCACGAAGGAGTTCCT